ATCAGATTAGCAGTGGCAATCGCCGAACTGTCGCACACACACACACACACATAGGCATGATTTTGACAGTATCTCGGGTCGCCTAAAATTGCCCGTTGCGCCTGTGCGTGATAGGATTTAGTTCCTTCTAGACATATTTAATACGAGGATTGCGAATGCAGCAATTGGGTGAGGGCTAACTTTTAAAACGGAAGATGCGAGAGGAGTCGCAGTTTTGATTTTGTTTATAACTTATCCTTTTGTATATTTATACAACGCTTAAAACAACAGAACGCCAAAAGTTAATTAAAATCCATAAGACATCGAGTAATATGCCAGTGATGCAGGACGGAATACTTCCAGATAAAAAAAATCAACCACTTTAATTCATTATGAATGATTTGGTGTATATCATAATGAAGTAAAGTGGTTTATTTTTTACCTGGACGTATTTTTTAATTTTTTTATTTATTTATGTATTTATCTACCGTAAACATAATAAAGTACTTGTACTCTATCTACTTCAATATATATAGCGTGGTGCATCAATTTTACTCCCAATCTACGAAGACCCTTGAAACAATACCAAATTCAGAATTAACCTGGACATTGTGGGTGGTATATCCAAGGTAAATATTCATGATTTTGAGGCGGAAGGATAACGGGGTTATCAGGTTGGCTACGGTGATATGTACGGCAACTAGTTACATGTTTTTAGTATGCTTCTTCAAGTTTGTGTATCTCAAAATTTTGGTGGTTAACCTCATACAAATTTTAGTGCAAAGTCATGACCATTTAATTTGTTCCTCTGTCTGTAGTGAAAAGCATTCAGCCCAACGAAAATTTGGGGAAAAGTTGGAGGTGGGCAAAGAGGCCAGAATTTTGAAGTCAATGGGGAAATTAATGGTGGTCTGCCACTTGTATGAATGATAGAGTTTTCTCCCTTGGATAACTTGTCATGCCAACTAGCCACTCGGCCAACCAAAACATATGAATTGGTCCATAATTAAATTCCCAATAAAATATGAAATGAAATGAAATGGGGTTTAACGTCCTACCGTTCTGTTCCGAATGGGCTAATGAAGACGGACTTACGCTATACAGTGTGAGTTGTCATTGAGTCATAGGACGTGGTTTCCATTCCCCGCTTGTACGGGAAAAGTAGTAAGGTCGTCTGTCCAACACCGTGGGTTTTCTTCGGGTCCGCCGGTTTCCTCCCACAGCGAATTAATTAAATAAAATTGAAACATATGTTAGTTCCGAAATAACACAGCTTGTGTCGAGTGGACGTTAAACCCATCTCTCTCTCCCCCCTCTCTCTCTCCCTTTCTCTCTCTCTATACGAATCGTCAGGCCATGTTAATGCGTTACTATGCTGTTCTCTAATACTTGAATTTTACTTATATGTTTAACTGAGAGTTAGATCATTTTATGTGATGACTTGATTGTTCTGGATATGATCCAGGCAGCTGTATTATGGACATTTTGGGGTTTGAGCAGTATGTCTCGAGCACTACTACCAATAAACTGTTACAGTAGTCAATACGTGATCCAGGACTGATTCGTTAGGATAACTGAATCAGATTTAACATTATTTATAATTTATTACCCGTTGACGACGGTGCTCAGGATAGGGCATAAACCTGTTATGTGCAATTCCTGGGCCGACTGAAAAGGTCCAATAGATGTAGTGCTGTTTTTGCATAACCACTTTCCACAGACGATCTGATGGCGTTTAAATCTCTTAATAGACATAAACGTGACCCGAAGGCTATTTATCGAAATGCATGATGGCAATAATATATTGTTAACGATTTCTCAACATTTGTTTCTATGCAGGGTATCGTATGCTATTAGTTGCCGTACACTAGCATGTGTGAAAACATTTGCCCCCCCCCTACCCCACCCCCACCCCCACCCCCAATTGGAATACCGATACTGATGATACCGTGGCGATAAATTCCGAATGATCCCAAGCAGTAGTGGTTGGAATGGTATCAAGTGTGGACCCTGTACGATAGCCCGAGTTTTCCGACCTCATCCTCGAGCTCACTACAGAGTTCAAAACTAAAAATTAATACCCAAAGACCATTAAGTCGGTTACTAATAAAAGTCTAAGAAATTTTTCGGCAACATACAAGGTTTAGGGTTATGAAAGAAAATCACTCAGTACCAGTAAAATGCCAAACTTTCATAGCCTCTAATGCTTTTCTAACACAGTTCCTTTCTACCTTACGAAATTGACGATGAACTTATCTAAGTTTGATGTATACTGGTAGTAATTCAAAACTGTGAGTCAAAACCAGTACTATGTTCACTTATATATGTGACCCACTCTGACAAATACAGTCACATGGCTCCACAATAAGATATTGAGATATGTACATATTTGAAAAGAAGATATTCCCAGCTTTACATTGGTGCAAAAATTATTGGCTGAGCTACAGCAGAAAATGTGCGGTAATGTTCAATGAATTTTGAAAACATTGATTTTGAGAAAATGGCCGCCAAAGTTTTGTTTCAATCATCAGGTAAATGTCCATAGCAACCACATACTTAGGTTAAAGATACAGGCTTGAAATTTTGCACAGATATATTAGAGAGCATATGCAAACAAAACAAACATGTTTGAACTTTAAACTGTGATGAAATTTCCTGAAATAACATTGCATACTCCCAGCACTTTTATTTTCAAATTGCAATTTTGGGAAATTTCGGGAACAAAATGTTTCTCATAATAAAAAGGCCGAATGAGTAATTTTCACATCTTGGTGGAAAGTAAATGTATTAAAACAAAACAGAGAAGCTTGTAGTTGACAAATATTTAATTTTAGAAATAGAATTCACATGCCCCCCCCCCACCAACACGCACACCCTGCGGCTAGCACTCAACCTGCTGACGTCATTGTTCATTGTATAGAAAAGCTAAAACATGTCCATTATCCCATTATCTCAAAATAAAACAAGCCAACAGTGAGGCTGATGTCCCCCGCCGTAATCCCAAAATAAATAGATGACACCCATTAATTAATCGCACATTTAATTTTTTTTCAAAAGTATCAAGCAATCAAACTATACACTAAGTTTCATCACTCTCTATCAGATAGAATCAAGATTATCTTGTCCCAAAGCACTGACCAATGAAATTGACTAGCTCTGCTTAGCTTCAGCTCGAAATGTTAATCATTGAACTCATTCAAGACATTCACCTAATGAACATCTACATCAAGTCTAAACATTCTACCTCTATAAAAAGAAGAGTTGTTATGTTCCAAAGTCTTGACCAATCAAATTGCTTATCGCTCATTAGCCTAAGCAGAAAATTCTCACCATCGAAATTAGTAACGGTAATGATATAATGAATCTATATTCGGAGTTCCATCGCTCTCTCTTCATTATAACCAAAGTTATCGTGCCTCAAAGCATCAACCAATCAAATTGCTTTTTTTCTGCTTACCGTAAGCAGACAATGTTCATCATAGAACTCCATCAAGGCATTCACCTTATGTAGGTCTATGCCAAGTGTGAACATTGTAACTCAATTAGAATGAGAGTTATTGTGTTCGAAAGTCTCGACCAATCAAATTGCTTATCGCTCTGCTTACCCTGAGCAGAAAATGCTCATTATCGAACTTAGTCAAGGTATTGATGTAATGAAACTATACACCAAGTTTCATCACTCCCACTTAATTAGGACTAAAGTTATCGTGTCCCAAAGCATCAAACAATCAAATTGCTTATCTCTGCTTACCCTAAGCCGAAAATGCTCATCTTCGAACTCCATCAAGGCATCGACCTAATAAACACCTACCCCAAGTTTGAACATTCTAGCTCAATTAGAAAGAGGGTTATTATGTCCCAAAATGTGTGACAGACAGACGGGATTTAACGTTCTACTGTTCTGCTCCGAACTTGGCCTCAGCACATGGTTTCGGGCAACAGATGTCCTTTGATTCATCGTCACAGAAGTCACGGATTTGGTCATAAAGGTGGGCTTGTCGTTTATCATCCAAGCCAGGTGGTTGAATTACTGGTGGCAGATTGACTGGGGGCAGGATCTCCGGATCTTTCAGCAGCTGAAACCTTGTCACATTTTCAGAGTCCGAACAATCTCTTGCGATGACCAGTCCAGGTGTAGAGGAATAAAAACTGAAATGAACAATGCAAACTTTTTAGTAGAACTAAAAACACTTATCAAAGGGATATTCATTCTGAAACAAAAGATATAAAAAAGGAAGAAACGGTGGAAAAAACAAAAATAACAATGTAAGTACAATGACAATGTGAAGTGCATTAATCATAATTCATTAAAGTTACTAATTTTAAAGCTTTCAGCTATTCATTATTTCTTATCACTGACTATCAATATCTGCATACACAAAGGGGTGGTTGGGTGGCCGAAAGGTTAGCGTGTGCGCTTTATATCATTAGATCTGTCAGTGAGTGAACTGACATGGTTTCCATTCCCTGGTGACAAGGAGTAGGGTCGCCTGTCCAACCTCATGGGTTTTCTCCAGGTCCTCCGGTTTTCTCCTACTTCTAAAGACCCCCATGCGGAAGCGAATTAATGAAATAAAATTGAACCATATGTTAAGTCCCGAAATGACCTAGTTTGCGTCGAGTGAACGCAAAACCCCATTTTTCTCTGTGTCGCATACACAAAGTATTCTTTTTTTCTAACCTAAGTGTCCTTTTTTTATTTCAGGTGTAAAAACAAAACATGTGAGACTCACCTGAAGTGCTGGTAGTTTTTGATACCTTGCAAAGGACGGAAGTAGGGCTGAAGGAAATTCTGCCAGTCATAAGCCTTCACATAAACCGTGCCATCTTCTAATCCAACAAGCTGAGGAATATTAACTCCAGTTACTGTACTTTCACGAACTACAGCAGCGATATCGTCCAACTTGCAGACTCTTGTCCGTCTGTACTTTTGCTTAATTAGCCCGAAGCACCAGTCTGGTGCGAATTTTGTGTGACCAACAATTAGGCAATGCAATCCTATATGACTATGGAGCTTGTGCATGGTCCTCCATGCCATGTACCAGAGAACAAATCTATTTTTGTTCTGTCCAGAGCAGTTATCACAGTGTAGCCCTGCTTCTTTTTCACCAAGTCCAAAGTTGTCAAAAAAGTGGTGGAGGTAGTTTATAACACTGTTAGATCCCTTGCTGGAAGCCAAACTTTCATCCACAAGATAATTCACCTGCTGGGGTATCCCCTCACAACATACTCCGAACAACCCACACTTCCTCGGCGTCAAGAAATACATTGGTCCTGGTTGCCAGGGATCGGACGGAAAGTGTACCTGAAATAAATTGAGCAATTATTAATATCATTAGCACATGTCTAAGAACCGAACAGGGAACAAAATGAGTACCATTATGCCACAGAATACCTAGAAAAAGACACAACTGGACGGGTGTAAGTCTGATTATCATAAATTTCAGTTTACACAGTGTTTATGAGACTGAGAGAGAGAAATGGGGTTTAACGACGTCCACTCGACACAAACTAGGTCATTTCGGGACTAACTCCTGGTTCAATCATTCACTTGCGCGTAGAGGTCTACTCCTTGTCACGTACAACCGGAAAATCGAAACCCCGCCAGTTGACTCAATGACAGACCGTATGATTCAGCGCGCGCGTGCTAACCATTCGGCCATCCACCCCCCCCCCCCGTGTTTATGAGAGATACAAATACAGCACACTGAACAATTCCTTCTGACGAAAGGAATAACTTAAAAGATAATGCTATCCTGTATTTATGTAGAAAATATCTAAGATCGCGTTGAATTAATTCCTTGTTTCTATTGCCCTCCCGCTTAGGTTGAAGACCACGAAAATCGTGCGCTTACCTTTTATGAGACAAAAAAAATATTTAAAAAATTATGTTAATACCATCTAATAAATTTTTTGTTGTCAAAACTAACGAACTCCAAGCGCATCAAATTTCATCTTACTGAAATGATTCCATTGAAATGTAACACAAGAATACGGAAAATTTATATCAAAATATGGTTATTTCCTCTTCTAGTCGTTATTAAATGTATTCAATTAAATATCTGTGCTTTTATATTAACGAATAATAGATTATTTATAATATTAAAAGAGGTACACAACCCTCAGACTATAGATATTATGTTTTGTGTTTTAAAATTCACTCTGTGTTGTGTTTACCGCACTACCGCACATTATGGCCAGAGTGGTGGCAGGAGAAACAAGGAATCAATTCAACACGGCCTAATGTGAAAATAAATACCTGTTGTGCATAGTCGAAGCTGTAGTGCATTTTTATTTCCTTACTGGCATGACGGGGGTGAATGTTGTAGCTTCAAATCTAATTCTTGACAGACTTCTTTTGATTTCTTCACCATGTCTTGGTAGTAAATTCTTTCTTTCTCAACAAGAAGAAGGTGTTCCTCTTGTTTTTTCAGTTTTGCAGACTTGACTACCTCTGGGAGATTGTTGCTTCTGAGACCTGGTAATTATTCTTCTGACATACCCAGCATAAGTCTGATGTGGTGTGTGGTTTATACACATCGGTGTTATGGGATAAAACCAAACCTTTTTTGTTCATTATATCTGAAACGTCGTATAGGGTTAGTACTCTTTAATTTCATTTTAAAAACGACATTTGAGATATTGAGTAAGGCTATTAATTAATTTAAATGGGCGCATTAACGATTGTTAATATCGAGTCAAGTCTTGTTGTTTTCTCTATCGAAATGTACTTTAACTTTCATACTATAAATTATGCACGATTTCATTTCCGCCCGCCTGTCCACATAGTTTTTGTGTTTTGTTCTTAGAATTTGCCGCGATAAATCGGCTGATCATGAGGCAGAACATTATCGAAATTTTAGGGTGACTTTTATTGGTGACGTTATTGCCCGGTCATAGAAATCTTGTAAACGCTTTTGTTTAAATCTTGCTGACATTGTTGGGCTATATTTATGTGGAAATTAAGAGTCGCGCATCGTTTTTGCAGTGGTCAGAGTTATTAAATTCTACGCCAAAATTATCCTAAAAGCTGGTCGGTTTCTCGGATTTATCTAATGCCCCTTTTCAAGGCATATTAAAAAAAGTGCGACCACGTGGTAAATTCAGGGATGCAACACCTTTTGTGTCCAACATGCCTCAATTATCAGATCAAAATATTGATGAGGGTTTAACTGCCTGCCTACCCTACTGCACAATGAATTTAATACAATTTAGTACATAATAAACGCGTCGTATTGGCATTTTAGAGCATGCAGTAGGCGTACTCACACGTAACAGGATAAGGGTACAGCTCATCAAGATATCGAGGAATACCAATTCCCCAAATATACAGATCAATTAGCAAGAAATTATATATTTCTTTTACGTGTAGTTTAACATTAGTTATCAGTTATAATAATGCAGCGTGTTTCCTATTTGCCTCTCTTTCGTATATATGATCGTAATTTGTTTCATGATATTACTCTGTTCTATGGTACGGCTACATACCAATCAGTTGTCATCTAGAATCGATCGTTTAGAAGACTGACTCACAGAAGTGAATTTATCTAAGAAAGTTAAGAATGACAGTCATGGACTCTGGTGTGGCCACAAACTTTACAAATACAAGTGAAATATTTACTTTAAGTGTGTCGGAAACTCTAATGATATTTTTGTATGGTATTATATGTTTTGTTGCAGTAGTTGGAAATGGGTGTGTTTGTTATTTGGTATTCTCTAAGAGACACATGCGAACAGTTACAAACTTTTTTATTGCTAGTCTTGCAATCAGTGATATGCTTATGGCGATTGTGTGTATTCCATTTACATTTGTGGCAAGTATGTTAGGGCACTGGCCTTATGGGCATGCCTTTTGTCCAGCCTTAACATATATCCAAGCTGTGGTGGTATTTTTAAGTGCTTACACCATGTTAGCAATAAGCATCGAGAGATACATGGCCATAAATCATCCTTTTTTAAGAAGGTTATCAAAGAAGAAATCTGTGTGGGTCATATTCCTCTGTTGGATATTATCGTTTTTAACACCTCTCCCGACGGCAATTACATCACGAGTTATTCCATACACGGATGCTGAAGATAATAGCACCACACTTTATTGCTCGGAAGATTGGTCTGCAAATAGCGATAGATTTTCATATACACTAACAATAATGGTTTTTCAATATTTTATACCCTTGTTAGTATTGATATATACTTATTCTCGTATTGTACATATTGTTTGGCTTAAAGATGTCTCTAACTGTGACGATGCTACCGAAGGGGACCCGAGAAAAAAGGTATGTCCTAATGGTGTTCTTCGATTTATTTAGATTAAGTTTTTCGAAGAAATTAACTCCTAATTACCTAAAGAGAACGACACACAATTAATAGTCTTCGCCTGATTAATCTACCAGATTAATTTCCTCGAATGTAGCTAAGTCTTTAACTCAATATCATCAACAGTTTTCGACATTGAAACATGAATTATTTGTCAATCTAAAACAACATTGATGTTGTGATATTACCGGGAAAAGATGGGCTTCTGATATCCAATATTTAAGACAAAATAAAAATTGGTACACGAATCGTGTATCAGAATGCGTTTCCGTGCCATTTGTAACAAGGGGTTCGAAGAACGAGGCTAAACATATCTTACAAGTCATGTCAAACGATGACGCCATATTCTTATCTGGAGAGCATGCGCAATAAATACTAACGATGTAGACTGGAATAACCAGACAATAGAGATTTCCATTCGATTGAGACGTATCGCGTATTTCTCCGAAAATAACTGATTTGAAATTATAGTAGGGTCGCCTGTCCAACCTCGTGTGTTTTCCCCGGGTCCTTCGATTTCCTCCCACTGTTAAAAAGCCATACGCGCAAACAAATTATTGAAATATAATTGATTTATGTGTTAGTCCCGAAATAACCTAGTTTGTCTCGAGTGGATGTTACCCCCCCCCCCCCCCTCTCTCTCTCTCTCTCTTCGTTGCGACCAGTTTGTGTCAATTGCTAGGTTCAAATATTAGCGAGTTATCTCCTTTAAATGTTGTGTAATTGCTTCACATTTAGCTAATGGTCTAATCATTGGAAACAATTGTTTTAATCAATGCATTCTGTTTTTTTTTTTGTGCGATTCTTTGATTTATTAAAACACCTTGTGATCAACGCAGAACCAATAAACTTGTGTCGCGGAAATATGATTAGGTTCCAATCAAAAATGCAATACTATTAAAGCATTTCATATGTCAGTCCGAGTATAAAATCTATTTCGCTTTATTAAATGGAAACTTAAACTTCGTTTGATAATAAATCATAGATGGGGTATAATTAGGTCGTCTGTATGACATCCCTAAACTTATCTAAAAGTATAATTTGCCATGTTCATATACAAGTTACCTAACAAGCCCAAGGTGAATTGAATACGTAAACTAATGAGCCTACCGTTGATATATTAGGGCGTGCATTACTCGCCAGTTTTCTGGAATACTACTTAGATAAAAGTACTAGATTTCGAACTGGGTGTATCGTAAGATACTGTGGTGTTGGTAACAACAATATTTTTCCTAATCGTTTGAATATATATTTCCTAATGGTTTGGATATATTTGTAATTTATGGTCTTTAGAATCGCGACTGTCCAGGAAATTCAAGGTTAACTAATTAGGGGTCATAAGTTGTGTTGTGCGGAAAGCATATTGATATAGAACTCTTATCCCAAGTACTCAACATGACCCATTTTGGCCTATTAACAGAGAGTACTTATCACAATTATTACACATGGTCCAATATCAACTTCCTTTTTGGACTATTAACAGACAGCACTTATCACAATTATTCTACATGCCCCAATATCAAATTCCTTTGTGGACTATTAACACAGATCATTTTTCACAATTATTTAACATGTCCCAATATACAGTTCATGTTGCAATTGTGTAGCACTACCGATGCCACATATTTTTGTTTTCACCTGATCTAAGGGTTGGTTTGACTCTGGACTGGCCACTGTTCTATCTCTCTTCTTAAGGACTTAACCGTTGTGTTTTCTTACGATACCGAAATCAAATATGTAACAGGAACAACAATAGTTTTTTTCTATACGTTTTATGTCACAACAGTTACACAATATTCTACATTACAAAATTTGAAATTAACATCTTTTTCTATCAACCTGTAAACCGATACATCATGAAATGGTCGTCTAAAGAACCAATGCGTGTCTAACCCTAAAAATCTACAAAATTCTAAATAATCCAGTGATGTCTAAAATTATTCTAGCCCTGCTCTCTGTTATAGGTGCCACATGACACCAGCTATAGGCTAATTAATAATTTTCCACTAACATGTATTTCAAACAATAACAACTTATCCTTGAAAACGGTAAATGATCAGCATTTTTACTAAACTATATCTCCTTTAACGTCTCAGAATAACCAGCATACTTTCTATATTTTGGGTTATGAACTTAGAATCAATAATTTGTAAAGACAACCATATTGTTTCAGCCATATTGCCCCATTCCTTGTCTACGAACTTTAAACCAATAATTGGTCCATGACATAATATGGTCGCATCGACAATATTGCTACACCTGATTGTTGGTATCAATGTCTTAATATTTTCTTGGAAGTTGCGGCTTAGTGCCTTGCAATTGCTGTTTGTGCGTGTTGGTAGCCCTGTCGATCCGATCTATTTACACTAATATTCTTTCTCATCACTGTACTGGTTTGGCATACATTACCTGGGGTCAAAAAGACACCGGGGTTATTTTTTAATATTTATGTTTAAACAGATTTTAAGTATCAGGTCTTGACTGATTTAGCGTGAAGCCACCCAGCTTTTCAACCAATAGATCTGAGCTACCTGGGGACTCTCCCTCTGCCTCTCTATCTCCTGTCGATGTTTTAAGGAACGTAAATTTGTAGCCGAACTATTAAAATTGCAATGCCCCCCCCCCCGGCAAAATTTCTCTCATAGTACACGGAATGGTGTCTGTCCGTCATTATTAGCAAGAGAAATGGAGTTTAACGTCCACTCGACACAAAATAGGTCATTTCGGGACTAACATATGGTTCAGTTTTATTTCAATAATTTGCTTGCGCGTAAATTGGATGACTCCAATTTGCGTATTCTTGTTGAATCGAACGGGTATAAACAGGCACATATATTCCTGGTCTACGGTGGCTGAGTGAGTAAGATACTGGCTCCCTAGCCTGGACGTCACAGGGTTCGATCCCAGTGTTGACCGAGGAAGTTCATCCGGATTTTTCGGCATGGTTTCCCATATTTAGTGTGGGTGACAATTCAATGCGACATGTTCTAAGTGATTAATATACTGGAGTCTCCACACTGCCTTGATGGATCTGTGGATAAAAACAACAGAGAGTTGATATTCTTCATATAAGGAACATAAAAAAATGATATTACAA